TATATATATATATATATTAAGAATCATAATCCTACAAATATTACAACATCAACTTGACTATTTTCATTAGAATACTCCATAATAAAATTTTGAAATGATAGATTACAAGTTAGAGAGTTTAGAGCTACCGGATCTAAATCCATATTGTCTATTGGCAAKAATATTAACAATGGRTTTTATAATTTTATTAAGAAMTATTTTCTCGAGMAGTTTCCAATWAGAACTAAGTCAGAAATCAGTCTATAATTTTTAATATCCGTTTAATCACTTTATTTKAAAACTGGTGTAATAGAACTTGTCTTCTAAGCTATTGGAAATGCATCTTCCTCTAATGTAAAAATATAATATAATATATATATTTGAAAGGATATAGTTGGCAAAATGTGCTAAGAAATAACCAGAAATTCCATCAGAACCAAGTGGCTTARAAGTTGTTAGGGAACGTAATCCACCAGTAATTTCATTCAGTAAAATATTGCGATTGCTCRAATGCATAGATGGATAAAATGAGCATTATTTTTTTTCCAAACCAGAATTTAAGTTCCTTGGTAAACTAATATGAAAAGTTAGAATGGCTGCAAACCAAACSAGTAGGAATGAAATCAGTTAAATTACTCAATAATGCATCCTGGAAGGTGAGAGCTGCTAATTCAATAATCTACACTCTCAAAAATTTTAAACCAATTAAAGAAATTAAAAAACAAATTAATTATAGTATAATCAGTTTTATTACAATCATAGCCTAGCTGAATATTGGTGGTAATGGGTACTTAATCCATAAGTAATTAAGAGAACAGGATGACATAGATCTAAAGGATCTATATAGTTTACAGAACGGTGTTATTTAACAACAATTTGTAGTATATTTAAGATTTAAAGAATTAAATTACAGTATTAGAGAGCAATATGGAGTGCTATAACATTTGAATAATATTTTCTGCCATACAGAAAACAATGAATATACTTCAACAATACTGGCATTAAATACTTATTACTTTATTCTACAAATCAAAAATATATCCTTCATGATTTATAAAAATATTAATTTTAACAGTAGGTGCCAAAGCATAATAAAAAGTAGTAGGGTTAATTAAATAATTAGTATTATTAAGTAAACATAATTTATATAGTTAGCTATATATTATGTAATAAAAATATGATTTCAATAACACACATGATATGTAAATTATAGACTACAACCACTATGTGGTTAAATAATTTCAATAACATGTTATATAACAGTACCTAGAATATAAATTATATTTTAAAACATGAATTAAGATTGAAACAACAATGTATATATGAACTTTCCGTGAATTGTTTTTATTCTTAATAAAGTATTGTCAATAATATGCTTGATACTACTTTAAAATTATTCACTGACAATTTTTTWAATGGATCATAATTTTACAATGGACCACTATTAAATTACATCACAAATTGTACTCACTGTTTGGATGAAACATATCACAAGTAAAACTCATTTTAGGTGGACTCAATGGGTAGTCTGATGGAAATATAAGTTTAGCTGGGAAAACACCACCTTCAAAACATGTCCCTTCTGGTCCTCTACTCATAATAAAAATGATGTTTTAGATATTGTGAGTATACTGTTTGGTAGACATTATTCAATATTATTATAACTTACGTGATTAAAGCTTCCCACTCAAAATAATTTTCTTCAGTGGTTGGGCCAGCAATGATTCCTTCTGGAGGATTTAACGTCAACTCTACAGAATAAATCATAAAGATATTTGTGTAATAAAAATATATGTTATATAAATAAAGTATTTACATACGTTTATATTCAGCCATAAGTCGTCTTAGAGCAGATCCAGCCATTGCAAATAATTTTATGAATTGTTATTGAATGGACAAAATAGACACGTCTATAAAGAACACAGAATACAAAACAAAAATAAAACACAGAWATATTGACTAGTAATGAAGTGAATGGGTAGAATGTAGAACAATTATTACTTAATAATAAATTATAGTTGCCACTTGGGCCAATTTTGATAACAGTAAAATTGATACCAAGTATTGATGACGATGGTGAAACTTGTTATAGTTCGGTTATATAACCATATGATATTGTTCATTGGAGTTAAATAACCTTAGTGTTGTCGTGTCGTTTCGTGTAAAATAATTTTTGATCGCCTACCAAATACCAAAATGCGATTGTAAACGTCTAACCGACACATCGGTCGTCGATACCATGACTACCACAGAATAGAATATAATATTTGGTCGTGTAGTTACGTTCATCCTGTTCATATACTGAATGATGGTATATTACATTTAATTATATCATTATTTTGGTGATTTTGAACCTCACTATCATTGCTATCCATAGAACAACGACGCTACAATAATTATAGACATCTGATCATGAAACACGACTATTTCGTTATACCGTCATGGGCCATGGTAATAATATTGTATTATTGTATCTAGCCGTGTTAATCTGTATAGATGCTTCGTTAGGTTTATGCAATTGTATATAATTATRGATTGGATATAAATTATACAATTATAGCACAGAATCAGCTGATGCAAAGTGAAATTTACCTTTTTGGTGATAGTACTATCTGAAGTATAATTGAAATACTTAGCGACGGTCGCCCATAGATAATAATACTTTATTATCTATGCGTTCGCTTCAGTTGTATTGATAAGAATAACACGTGACAAATTTCCAAGTACCAAGTCCCATAATCATTGATCTCTGTGATTGTGTCCTGTGTCCACTGTCCGTCTGTCCATATTATARCTGTAACGTTACAACCTTATAACGTAATATTAATTTGTTTCGTTTGTACTAAATTCTTTGAAATTTTAAATCGTAAAATGGCATCATTTGAAGTCGAATACAACGATAATAATAAAAAGCGTAAAAACAAAAATGTTGAAAAAAGTAAAAAAAAAAAAAAACTTCCAGAAGTCGCTGAAATAAATGAAGGTTTAGAAACTGAAGATGCAGTAGAAATAAAAATTCCTGAAAAAGTCAAGGTAACAATCGACAATAGTATTGATACTTCAAGAACCACTGAAGTCAATAACAAGGTTAAGCCGTCAAAAGTACGACAGTTGCCTACTGTCACCATAGCCGTCCCTGGATCAATTTTAGATAATGCACAGTCTCCGGAATTCAGAACATACTTGGCGGGACAAATTGCAAGAGCAGCGTGCATTTACAAAATTGATGAGGTTTGTTACAATGCATCTTTATTAATTTATCGTTGAACATTTTCTTACTTGTTATTTTTATTAGATCGTAGTTTTTGATGATGTAGGCGAACAGACTAATGTGATGATATCCAACAAAAAAACTGAAGGTGGTTCTAAGGCATGTAAACAATTAGCTATAATCTTACAATACTTGGAATGCCCACAATATTTAAGAAGAATTTTATTTCCAATTCACAACTTTTTAAAATACACTGGAGTATTGAATCCTCTAGATGCACCACATCATTTTAGGCAAGAAGACAATGTTCCATACCGGTATGTTTTGTTATTTAATAATAATTAGGTACTCCAAAAATAATTAATATAAACCTATGTATACATTTCTGTTTATGAATTTAAGCATTAAAACTATCAATTGTTTGAAAAAAAAAATTAATTTTTATAAGAAGTTAATTCACTCCAACTTTTAAACCAACAGAGTTCAATATGATCTGCTGAGCTTAAAACTTYGTATGTTATACACTTGTAAGACAGAGACAACAGATGCGGGTGTGGGGTCCTCTTAATAGTTTTTATTAAGTTCTTATTAGTAATTTCAGTGTCATTGACATTTTTACCAAGCAAACTTTTACTTTCAATCTATTTCTATGAATAATTAATACATATTATTAAATAAATATTAAAAGTATTGTTTTTTAATTTACAGAGAAGGCGTGGTCTCGACACTTCCGCCAAAAAAAGGTAAAGGCTGTAATGTTGACGTTGGTCTTAGAAAACATGTACTAGTTGATAAATGTCTTCAGCCATATGTACGAGTTACTGTTAAACTAATTCCAAATTCAGATGATTCTAAACGTCAAAAAGGTATTGTAGTAGCTCCAAGTACGCCCAAAAATGAATCTGGTATTTACTGGGGTTACACAGTAAGGAATGCTGAATCAATAAATGAAGTATTTACCAAGTGCCCATATCCTGGTGGATATGATTTGAAAATTGGTACATCTGATAAAGGCATAGATATCGATAAAACAGATCATACTCAACTTAGTAATTTCAAGCATGCATTGATATGTTTTGGAGGAGTTCATGGACTTGAAGCTGCATTAGAAGCTGATCAAAGCATTGATGAAGAAAATCCATCTACTTTATTCAACATTTATTTAAATACATGTCCAAATCAAGGTTCTAGAACTATTAGAACTGAAGAAGCTGTTTTGATAACATTAGCAGAATTACGTTCAAAAATGAAACTTGAATAAATTCTATATATTCATAATATGTGCTTGAATGTTTATTCGATTAACTTCATTAGAAGTTTATAAAACCTTTAATAATTGTATGGTTTTCCTTACATTCTTCAAGAATGCTTACAACAAATAGTAATGTTTAATATTATGGTGTTCAGTACACACAGTGGTGTACACTAGGAAGTAGGAGTTTAGGTATTTAACCTTTCTCCTTGRTATTTTTACTTTGTGTGTAGACTATAGATCTATAAAAATTTATAAAATTTAAAAAACATTATTATAATTGTAAGTGTCAATTTAAGACTGATTTACATAGTTACATAACTTACATAAGATAGGTAGATAGAATATTATAGTCTATCTTAAATTTATTGTAACAGACCTCACTTAGTCGTATAAGTCATTGAATCCCAAACTCTTGATTATTTAGCTGAGATAGCGCTAGTTTTTTGGTATGGTAAACATCCAATTTTTTTTTAGTGATAAGCTGTGAGTGACGAGGAAGACCAATTTCTATATGCTGTTGACTGTTGAGTGAAAACCATAGTAAGTTATAAAAAGTATAAGATACTATATGGTGTAATAGAGATTATATATGTTATTTTTGGTTCTTATAATTAACAAAATATACAAATTATTTTTCCAAGTTRACAGAGTTGACATTTTCAATAAACAATGGCGACTCATCGCCTAAAGCATTRCTTCACGGCGTTCCCGGGTGGTGTGTATTGCCGATTTTTTAAAAAAAAGAGTTAACATTTAACTAATAACTGTTGACCTAATTCRATATTGATTGCTTTAAGTTTAATGGGTACTTCAACATATAATAAGTATATTACTAAACAATGTTGAATATTATCAGTTTCTTCATCATCATATTTTGTGCCGCCAAGTTACTGTTATAGTGGCTAACTTCGCTTAACACCTCCGATAGTCCGGCTCCCAAACCCAACGTGATTGAAATAGCCAACCTGAGAGAGGGRGTGACCACTTCGGGATCTTGGGCGGAGAAGCATCCCTGTCCTTCGGTCAGACAGATTACCTAACAAATAAACTTAACCCAACAGTACAACAGTTAAAGTATCAAAAACATAGTAGATTTCTTCAG